AAAAATATTGGGTTTTAAAATCCGTAGTCTGGGGAAATGGATGTATGCCGTAGATTTTGATGTCGTTAAGATGAACTCGGATCAAAAATTTGACCGACAGACGACTACAAGGGCCTGTTCCTCCGGGAGGTCGTCGTCAGGGTGCTGAGCAACCGCGACTGCCAGAGCCAGCGCAGCGTCCAGACGGAGCGCGTCCCGCGGTCGCAGCTGTGCGCCGTGCAGGCGGCCGGCGACGACACCCTCCTGGGGACGGTGAGTGCCGCGGCCGCGGTATCCATCAGGATCCCTGACCTCTCCCAATGTTTCTGCGGACTGAGTTTGTCGCCGTGCACAGGCCGACGCCGGCGACCCCGCCGTGTTCGCCGAGCCTTCCGGAGCCTACCGGCTGATCGGCATCGTGTCGGCCGAGAGGCAGAGCGCCTCGGGGCGGCCGACCGTCCTGGCCAGGATCACCGAGCACCTAGACTGGATCGCCGCCAACTCGGACGCGATCATCGGCTGACGACGACGTCCTCCCGGATCACCCGCGCACACCACTCCGAGCCCCGTTTTCTTCACTCACCGACGATAATAAAGCCCCTACGACCTACACGTCTCAGAGTGTTTGATTCCCTGGCCGCAAAGGAACTCCCTTTGACAAGCCTTCTCAGAACGACTCTCCAAACAGACGCGCGGATGGGGGGGGGGGGGGGGGGAGAACAGCGCAACCCCTAGCGGGGCAGATACGCGTTACGAGGGACCGCCTTTTCCCGAGCCTTTTCTCCTAATCCTCCTCTAACTACTGAACACACCCGGCCAGACGCCACGCGGGACGCTTTCGGACGCGGCCACAGGTTAGGCAGAATACAAACAGTTTAATGTGCGCCGTAAAAACAAACAGCACGCGCGCCTTGCGCCGGCTAGGTGAGGAGGGGGGGGAGTTCAACATCATTGTCTTCTCCTCGGCGGGGCAACTGCTCGGCCCGGGGCGGGGGCGCTAGTCGGCGCGACAACACAACACGGACACGCCTCGGTGACACAGGCGAGCATCCTCTCCCTCCTCCTCCCGCTTGTCGCGCCCGGGCCCGGGCTGCACTGCGCACCGCACGAGCCCCCGGGGCGGTGCGATCAAAGGCAGGGTATGGTCTTTGAGGCGGCGGCGCGGGCGCACACTGGCAAAACTGTAAACGCGACCTCAAAGACCCAAGCTGCTGTTGCCGATGCGGGGCGATCTCCGCCAACAGGTCGTTAGAGCTGCTCGACAACCTGGCGGCCTTTTCAGGCGCGCGGGCTTTCTTTAAATACGCGAACGACACGTGCCGTGGGTCTCCAGGGGGAGGGTGCCGGGGGTCCGGGGGTTCACGATGTTTACAGAGACGCGCGGTAAGCACCACGCCGCCGGTGCGCGAAGGAGCCCCGCCGTGCTCCGCGCCGGCAGTCCGCGCCCGGCAGCCTCGCCGTCAAGGATGAGCTCCCCGTCGTGGGCGTCCCTCTGCTACTGGGCCCTCGGGGGCGCGCCGTTGCCGCCGCCGGGTTGGGCGGAGCGCGCGGAGCATCCGGCCGACCACCACCTGGCACTGCTCGATCTAGGCACCTGCAGCTGGCCGCCGCGGCAACAGCAACACCTCGGCGCGGCCGCGGACACCGGCAGCTCAGAGTACTTAGTGGCCAGCTGCGGCGGCCGCGAGAGGCGGGTGAGTCAACGCGCAGGTGCTCGGAGGGGCGGCGACCGCACCATCGAATCGAGGCCGCCCGTCATGACGTGTACGACCGCTCAAATTAAATCCCTTTTATTGTTGCTCTAGGCGGAGAAGCCGCCCTACTCGTACATCGCGCTCATAGCCATGGCCATTTGCTCGTCGCCCGCCAACAAGATGACCCTCTCCGAGATATACCGCTTCATCGCAGACAACTTTCCTTACTACAGGGACAACAGGCAGGTAAGTGGGCCGACGTGATGTCACCGGAGTAGATAATCTACAATTTAATTACACCCAAAAATTTTAAGATCTAAAACTTGCATCTGCTCGACCGCAGGGCTGGCAGAACTCGATTCGCCACAACCTGAGCCTCAACGACTGCTTTGTGAAGATACCGCGTCTGGACCTGGAGGAGGCGGGCAAGGGCAACTTCTGGACCCTCGACCCGGCGCTGGCCGCCGACATGTTCGAGCGCGGCAACTACCGGCGGAGGCGCCGCGGCCTCAGGGCGACCACAAGGGTGAGGACCTCGGCCAGGGACACAGCACCTGACGGCCGTGATGGAGTCAAAGATATACCCAGGTAGCAAAATGAAGAAAACTGCATTCGAACCGCATTACATGTCCCATCTGAAACGTGTTTTTTTGCCGCATATCAGGCGCCTCTAGGCGCTCTTTAGATTGGACACAAAACGCACATTGTCTGCAGTTTGTGCTACCTGGGTAAGTGACGCAAACTTCGTCTGACCCGTGCGTAAACAGCCGGTAATTGTCATTCGTACTTACTCGTGCAGCTGGCCAAGAGTGAGCCCCGCGAGTACTGCAGCCCCGGCCTCCTCACGCCGCTGCCGCTGATGACGGCCCAGAGCGGCGTCCTCGTCGACCTGGCCTCGGACCGGACACGGCGGGGCGAGGAGGGCGGCAGGGTGGCCTACAGGGGCCACGACCGGCAGCAGGCCGCGGACGGCTCCGTCTTCTCCATCGACAACCTGATTTCGGGCAAGGGTAAGCAAATTAGCTTGACTGTTTTGCTTTATTGCCCCGGAAGGCAGGACAAGAAGAACCACCAATTGCGAAGCATGGCGTTACCACGGTACGCAAAAGGAGCAAAATTTGGTGCAGCAGGGGTTAGGGTTTTAGGTTATGAGACGTTACCATTTACAGTTTCGAGCAGGGCTGTGGTGCATGTAACACATTTTACAAAGTAAATCGCACGAAACTGGGGATAAAACATTGCAGTTTTATGTCCGCACACTGTCCACTAACCTGTTTTAAAATTTCATGAATGAATGTGTGGTGTTGTCATCGAAGTCCAAACCGTGTAGCTTCACTCGACGCAGATAAAAATCAACAGATTACGAAAACGAAAATAATGCTCGCCATGCTGAAATTATCTGAGTAAAACTTTTCGAAATTTCGTTCGAGGAATAGAGTCCATCCCGTTCGTCGGTTGCCGCGATCTGCGTTTGTAGGCGCAGCGCACAGCCCAGCCGACTGCTGGAGCTGATACAGTAGCCTCACTGCAAGGATTAACCTAAACATTGTGCGCCCAGAAAATAGTCCTCTCCATCGGACTACAACTTATTCTTACTAAGTTAACCATCACACAGTAGGCTATCAAATAATAAAAAGATAACAGTGTATTTCGGCTAACGAAGAAAGAGGAAGAATGGGAAGAAGAAGAGCGGGTAGAACATAAACGTTCCCGATTGTCGTGAGATTCCCGCCTCTACGTCACGCCGGTAGAGGGGGGTAGAGGCACCACCAATCAGGTATCTTAATGTTCTACATGCTCCTCTTCTTCCTCTGTTAGAGCCGAAATAGGCGGAAATGCATTATTAGAGACTCCGTCACTGCTACACTGATGCCAAGCCTCTCGTGCTTTACAATTTTCTTGTTCTTCCTTCCGGAGGCAAGTCGGTCAAAAAAACACGCACTCACAAAAGAGGGCAGAATGCCCAAACGATATCGCCGTGTTTGATAGCTACTCTTCCTTCAACCCACAAATCAAATCAGGCTAGGTGGTCGTAGATACTCTGCTCTTGCTTCTTACAAGCGCCTCTGCGACAAACTTGCGGATCTTTGCCTCGCCACGCCTCCGTAAGAGTACGGGACGAGTGGGCCGCGGGTCGGGCCTGTTGCCCAATGTGTTCTGGGTGTTCTGGTCGCCCCGCCCCGCCCGACCAGCCCGACCCAGCCGCACCGCGCTCTCCGGGCGCCCGCGCGGGCACCAACAGATACAAAGCGACACATTTTCTCACTTTAGGTGCGGTCCACCAGACGGCCCCGCCCCGCCCAGCTACGCCTCCCTCTGGGCACCTTGCTTCGTCCGAATGAGGGTGGACGTGAAATAATCAGGAACGAGATGATGGTGTGCGGTACCGATACGTTGCAGTACCGGCTGCAGCGGTTAAAGCCGCCCGGCCGCTGCCCGGGTGGAACCGGACCAGACCGGAGGTGTGTCTCTGTGCCCCCTGTCCCGCCTCCCCGCCGCCCGCTTTTGCGAGCGCGATTCCGTTGAAATCCGCCGCCCATGGCGGTGCGCCCGGTACGGCACAGCAGCCGTTTTGCAAGTTGCGGGTCATATGACTCAGATGCGCGGGGCTCTCCCGCTCCTCATGGCAATGAGAGAGAGAGAGAGAGAGAGAGAGAGAGAGAGAGAGAGAGAGAGAGAG